GTGAGCGCATTGCCCTTGGCGCCTCTGGTGGGAATTGGAGAAATGTATGGAGGTGATTGAGGAAGAATCAGCTGCAACAAAAAGTGGGTCGTCGATTGCTGACCTGTCAATCGTATTGAACTCAGAGAGCATGCTCTGAACCCAGCCAGAGAGATCAGATGGGTTGTAGTGGACTGCATCAGAAAGCTGAGAAATCCCATCTTCCTGAGCAGAGCCCATGACCATCTCCAGCTGCTCGAGCTATTCCGCCACCTCTGCCATGTCTGAGGCCCGAACCTTGTAACCCAAAACGGCAAGCAACTCATCAATGCCGCCGCCGCCATCTTGGTCTTGTTCCCAAATTTTGGCCTTGCCATTCAGCACTGAGGATGTGGGCGACGAGTATTCGCCCTTGGAACTATTTTGATCCGTGCAGGTATCGCGGTGATCTCTCTTCATTTTTTATTTTTTTTTAGTTTGATTGTTGTGAGGAAGAAGAAACAGAGAATGAAGAAGCACTGAGAGATATAAACCAAACCACAACCACTAGGGTCTGAACATGCTATCAGGCAGAGAGCAAGAAGAATATTGAGAGATATAAACCAAACCACAACCACGGATATGTTTTTTCTCATATATATAACCTATCAGGCGGAGAGAAAGAATAAGAAGAAAGAAGAAGAATCTGGCGGTGGCGGAGAGAAAGAAGAAGAAGAAAAGAAAGGGAGAAAGAAGAAGAAGAAAGAAAGAGAGAAGGGAAAGAAATAAAAAAAAAAAAAAATTATAATTTTGGATTGATTTGACGATTATATCCCTAGATTTAACAGTTTTTTTGACAGAGGGACTATTTAAGAACACCTATATTAACGTTAGGGACCATAAGTGATACAAAAAAACTTTAAGATGCAATCTGATAGTTTCGCAAACGTCAGGGATGTTTTGTGATAAAAAGCCTAAAAATATTAACATACACAAATAGTTGATCTGGATGGGTTGAACTGCTGCAGCAGGAAAACAAGTTCCTGAAATGTATGGAAAACGATCTCATCATAATTCCACATGCAACTAGATTGGTAACAATAGAAAAAGAAAATTAATGCCAATTCTTACAGATGATCTCGCTTATCGTCTGGCACTACGAAGCTAACTTCGGAAAAGTTATTATACGACAGATCCCTGAAAAGACATATGGTCAAATTTCATAGCTAATGGAATGTGGGAACATAATAAGATACTAGAAAATGATGGTGGCTTAGATAAGGATTTTTCTTTTCCATACAATTAAGCATTCCGGTGTCAAATCTAAGTAGCTGTCTGATGAAAGAAGTGTTTTAGTATCTAAATTACTGCATGAAACTTTTTGTAGAATGATCATTTCACAACAACTATTCATATAAATATTTCATTGCATGGATATGATTGAAGTTAAGAAGACACTCAAAATTAATACAGAATTCAAATAGCCCCTTTTTGGTCTTAATCAAGTGCACAATGGTTTTAAGAAACCAGCATTACTTACTACTGACAACTGTCACTGAAAAAGATCACCACGATGCTACCAACAATTCCTCATTATAGAGAGTATTTCCTAAATAGTTTCCTTTTATTTGCTAGGCTGTTTCCTTTTATTTACTACCGCATGTAAACAACCAGACTGATACATACTCCGTCCAACCGAAGGTCAATCCAGTATATTTGAATTTTCCATCAATTGCAGGTTCAAAAAGCAACGATCCTAATTCTAAGAAATCTCAAAAGTTAAAGTTCCACTTAGTGAACTTGAGTCATAAATTTAAACTGGTCTTACTTTAATCCCAAAGGTGTTAAAGGAAATTATGAGATACTAAGCTTTCGGACAATCATTGTTTAAGAAATAAAGATCAATTATCAAGATACCAAGCTTTCGGACTTACTTGACAGCCAATGCATGAAGATAAAAATAGTTTAAGAATTTGAATATAGAAGCTTACAATCTAGTCTTGACTTCACCAACCCAATCAGGGATTGTGTCACTAAGTTTATTTTTTGCCAAGGACCTGAGAAGAGAGAGTTAATAATAGAATACTAACATCAACAAGAGTTCGGTTGTCTTTAGTGTGGCAAAAACACACGAATTTCAATCACTTACAAGTGAGTTAAATTTAAACCTTTCATGGATTGTGGGATTCGTCCGGTTAAATTGTTAAAGCTCAAATCCCTGTTAAGAATACATAGAGGCATTAACAACTTGGGAACTTAGTTAACTAGTCTGTGAGATGAATTGTATCAAAGTACATTCAAAAGCAGGAATTGAAACAAATCAGTCAAAAGCATAAACATAAACCATTACTCTTTGCATAAAGCATAAACATAAACAACTTGGGGTCTTGTGAAGGTGTTGTGTGTGTGTGTGTGTGTGAGAGAGAGAGAGAGAGAGACTCACAAGTATTTTAAATTTGACATTTTACCAATGTATTCAGGGATTTCACCGGTGATGGAACAGTTCCTTAATATCCTATAGAAACCATGAGAAGAGGTGAGTGAGTGGATAAATCATGAACATGAGATGTTTACATCTAGTGATGCTGACTGCATAAGAAATTATGCAACTTAAAGAAATGTTGGGGTTTGTCCCAGCACAAAGACTCTTGCAGAGCATAATAAAGCTTGTTAAAAGTTTAAATCTGGCCAGTGAACATGAATTAATTCAACTCTTTGCCCTGTACATTTTTTTGTATTAAACCTCTTAAAAAATAAATAGATGTGTGCGACATGCAATAAAAACCATTTACAGAGTGTCTATATTGCTCAGGTTTGCTAATCGTGGGAACTGGAAACCAGAGTTTGCTACGTCACTGATCGTTCTGCAAAATGGACACAAAAAATTCATCACGAAAACAGAACTGCTGATTTTTCTTTTTTCTGAAAAAGTGGGTTAATGAAACAGAAGGGGACGGTGTACTTACAAATACTCAAGACGGGAGTAATTAAAAAGTTCTGCAGGTAGACTCCCTTCAAAATTGTTTCCCAAAATTGACCTGTGAGCAGTGCAGAGTAATATTAAATTCAGATGTACATATCAGCTAAAGACAATTCATTTTGTTATAGGCATGATCAGCACCTCCATATATTCTCTTGGTACCGTTACATATATTCTCCCAAGGATTTACATGATACGACTAACTAAAGAAAAACTTACAGATAACGAATTTCAGTCCACTTTTTGAATAAGTCAGCTGGAAAGCGACCAGACATATAGTTGCCAGATATTGAACTGCATTGGCCAATTAGGCTCTCTCAAAAATTAATAAATTCACCTTACTGTAGATTGCAGGCATCAAGAACATTAAATAAAGAAAAATCCTGCTGCAGTCACCAAATTTTTTTCCTCAAATGACGTGGCCGTGTTTCATTTATTCAAATCTGGGTCCACTATTGACCCCATTTATTTCCTACAAAATACTAAGGATGTGCATCGACATATCATTTGGTAAGCAAATTTGGTGACTCTGACATTATTAAATGAGAAACACTTACAAT